CGCCACTGAGACAATCGTCAGTGTCATTACCAGACTCGCCATTAACTTCTATCTGTAGTATTTCACCAGCTACAGTAGCTACATTAAGCATTTGCGCTACTGCTAATGCTAGCAGTAATTTAGCCATAGCCTATTGGATGATAAGGATATAAAATAGCATTAATAGAGGAGTCAGTCTTACCATAGACAGCGAGATAGATAGTAATGTCTTTATGAGCTCGAAATTGAACAATCAACACATGATATGAGCTCGGATATGAGCTGATATGAAGCCCTATATGGCCACTCCCCAAAACCACACTATAATAATCTTTTTTGTACAAACAATTAAAATAGTTACATGTATATTATGTATCTATGTGCAAACTGCAAATCAATGCTGCCAAAAGTTTTGATTGTTAAGTTTTAAAGATTTTCTGTCTTCCGAGACATGCTAGCTGAAATACATTAGACCCTCATCTCCAGTACCATGAACGACCTGCATTTTAAAGATTATTATTGCTTTAAAAATGTTTTTACTTACCTGAGGCATAATATGACACTCTGATGGAGTCCCTCCGCCTACGGTAATAGTATATCAAATGGAAGTGACTCTAAAATTACTTTTCCTAACCATCATTATGCACGCATTTAATTACCTAGATAAAAAGTAAGAAATATGGAATGAAAATAAAAAATAGGAATAAAGATTTTAAAAGTAGCTCCTCTGATACTCTAACTTCTATCCCACCCACTCAATAGGAAACATAAGTTTTATGGTTTTATATACTATATATGCCTGATTAGAAGCCCAGGCGTTTATTCAGTAACAGGGGGGAAATTGCATTAAATATAAAAAATCTAACAAAGAAGGGATTAAAACCATGTCCCCCTACTGTTGTATGTCTCCAGATTGTGCTGCTAGAGTTAAGCTATTTGGAGCAATCTAAAGTCTAAGTTACCTAAATTGAATAAAATATGCGCATCTATAGTGAGAATATTTAAACTACGGGTGTTTATTTAAGCTGGGCTTCTATTCTAATCAGGCAAATATGGTACAAGCATAACTGAAAAGAAATTTCTATGAAATGTACAGTGTATGGTTATCATTAACAGCTGTAGGCGAGGCATAAATGGGGCTAAAAACTGGTGGGGCCTCTATACAAAACAGGGCTAAAACAATGGAGTTATCATAGTAATTGTATAGCACTAGTAACTACTAAATCTTATCATATCAAAATGTACATATCTGTATTTTTATTAACTGTAAAGTAGTACTGAATAAGGTGTTGTGCACTACAAAAGAAAATGTGCCCTAATTTGGCTCTCTATAGTATACTATGCATACAGAGATTAACAATATAATAGCATTATCTTCAATGAGTACAACCACACAACAATGCCATGAATAGCCCATTAAGCCAATATGAACAGAGATATTGAGTTGAGGGTCAAAAAGCCATGAATAGCCCATTAAGCCAATATGATCAGAAATATTGAGTTGAGGGTCAAAAAGACACATGTTTTTAATAATTACAATTTTGATGAATTACATGCAAGCTTACAGTAACAGGAGTGAATGAATCCAGTAACATTAGGATTGTAAAATAAGGTGCTGATACTAGTTTTGGTGTGCAAGTGTGCTCTCCACAATAACAATCCTAAAATAAAATAGAACCATCTAGAATCTGATTTTTTAGTCAGAAAAGTCCTTATGACTGATAACTACATTTTATTGGGGCAAGCCTGAGCAAGTGCCACTTAGACAACACTCTTTCCTTTGCATTTTAGGTATGTATGCCAATTATACTTATCCCATGGTCTTTTTTTCTGAAAATTAGCTCTAAAATCACCCCCAATTTTCATTTTCTGATACACATTGATGTCCTTATGTAGAAAGTTTGAGATTATTCTGCGAAAATATTCTTCGAGTTATGAGCATTTTTAAAAGCAATTTTTGACAAAATAATACCATGGTTTTTCAAAAATGGCTTCAAAATCATCCCCCAATTTTTATTGAATTTTCTGATACACATTGATGTTTTTATGCTACGTAGAAGTTTGAGTTAATTCCGACAAATATTTTTCAAGTTACGAGCATTTTTTAAAAATGGGCAAATTTTGAAAAAATACCCAAGGCTATAGCCCATGGTTTATAGCCCATGGTTTTTTCTGAAAATTGGCTCCAAAATCACCCCCCAATTTTTATTAAATTTTCAGATTCAAATTGATGTCTTTATGCTATGTAGAAAGTTTGAGTTAATTCCGACAAATATTTATTGAGTCACGAGCATTTTCTAAAAACAGCCAATTTTTGAAAAATACCCAAGGCTATAGCCCATGGTTTTTTTCTGAAAAATGGCTCCAAAATCACCCCCAATTTTTATTACATTTTCCGATACATATTGATGTACTTATGCTATGTAGAAAGCTTGAGTTAATTCCGACAAATATTTTTCGAGTTAGGAGCATTTAAAAAAACAAGTCAATTTTTGAAAAATAACTAAGTATAGCCCATGTTTTTTTTCTGAAAATTAGCCCTAAAATGATCCCTAATTTTTATTACATTTTCTGATAAAATTTGATGTCTTTATGATACCTAAAAAGTTTGAGTTGATTCCGACAAAATTTTTTGAGTTATTAACATTTTTAAAATGAGACAATTATTGTGAAAAAAGCAATGGCCTATGGACATACCATGGTCTTTGGTCATGTACATGTACATATATTTCATCAAAACTAAAATTTAAAAAATATGCATTCTTATTGCATTTTCTGTTGCATATATAATGTTTTCTGATGCATAATGCACAAGAAAGTGCATTAAGAAAGTTTGATAAACACACACACTCGAGCACACACTTAATAATGCATTAATTAATTAAAAGTGAAGGGGCGGGGCACGAGACTATGCATTAATAAAAAATTAAACTACAATGAAAGGTATTACCTTTAGTTTGATAATCTATGGCTGACCATCAGATCAGTGGCCAGGTCCCCAGAGCTAGCTACCATGACTTGAGTGCCTTTCCAGCCTCCAGGTCCCTCGCTTTGATCGTCAGTACTCGATGGCCATAATTGGTAGGTGTGGCAGTAAAGGTGGGGCTTTGTGTGGATTTATAATTAATGGTAATCACGTGGAAGCATGTGTTCAATTCTGATTTCATTTCTTGTGTTGTAAGTGATTGTGATTAGCATTTAATGTAAATTCATTCATAGAATTCTCCTTATTATCATTAGGATATCACCTCTCAAAAATTTAAGGTCTCACAACAGCTCATCCAGCCATTAGAGAATCAGGTTAGAGCTACAATTTAACGTTATGCTTTCACAAATTGCAATAAATAAAGTTCTTCTTTCTTTTGACATCATTGTGTCTTGTCAATGAATATTGTTAAGTTAAACTCAAACTAAAAGTTTTTGATTCACACATCAATGTTTGTCCTATAATTGTACTTACGATGCTGTGATTTGGTATTTGCTTAAAAACTAGTGATAATTATTGATGGTTGGTTCACTTTGTTATGTTGTATTGTTATAGTTGTGTTTGATATTGATACATGCATTAGTCTGTGCAATGTTACTTTGAATTTTGTATTTTTTGATGAGAATATCTCTGTATGCGTACAGTTATAAGTGGTATAGACTAATCCTAGCTCTACATGTATGTGTTAAATGTGCAGACATGTCAAGTAATTAGTTCACAAGCTACCTTTTGTGGTGGAGGAAACATAGATGCATATTTTGGTGAACAGCTCTCCTTGCTGGATACTCATGAGAGAAATATACATTTGGATTTAAATACAAAAACTCAATCATTAATAATCAATGGTCAAGGCTGTAATTCTCTTGAATAAACTCATGGTCTTCTTTGCTGACCGTTGTATAGTGACTTTGAAGACTTATAGCATTAATTAAAATTAAGACTCTGTTCCAATCAAGGCTTGGTAATGATCTTAATGGAGATAGTTTTATTAGATACTAAAGTATAGACCTGTGTACTGCTATTACTGTAAGCTGAATAAGCAGGTTTTATTGCTTCAACATGGCATAATTTTGAAAACATTCACTTGATCTCATTAAACAGAAGATAATGCTTAGCACTACAAAATAACTGTTACAATACTACATGTGTGTGTATATACAGTATATGACTTGTACAGTCGATTAGACTTATTTAGTAAGGTCCAAGTATCCAACACTGTTTGATAGCAATGTATCAATATCTGTC